GCCGCAACCATCATAAATATGAACCAGTTGCCCAATGTCTGAATTTTGATCACGTGACCATGGGGGGGGGGAGAGGCTGCAACAGTCGTAAGTGTGGGAAACGGTCACGTCATTTTTTTTCATTGCCATCGTAACTTCAGATGGTCACTAAATGAACTGTTGTAAGTTGAGGATTACTACTATGTGGTTGGGAGGGTGGAAAAAGGGCATCCCACTTCCAGGATCATGTCTTAAGAGAAGAAACCGCGCGTACAGGCAGCCCTCGACTTACGACCATCGGTTTAACATCCGTTCAAATGTATGACCATGTTGAAAAAAGAGACTTAGGACCGGTCCTCATCCTTACAACAATGGTGCCATGGTCACGTGATCGCCATTTGGTTTCCAGGCACGTATCTATGATGGCTGCAGGATCCTGGGGCCGCGTGATCTTCCCAGCCAGCTTCCAGCAAGGGAAGTCAATGGAGGAAGCTGGATTCACTTAATGACTTTGGCAAAATAGGCCATTAAACCAGGTGCAACTCCCTAAATGGCCCCCTGACTTAGCAACAGCCCCAACTGTGCTCATAAATCAAGGAGTATCTGTAGAGAAACTCAAAAGCCTGAAGATATATATATATATTCTTTTTCAAGAAAAAGCCAATTCCCAGACGCAAGATCTACGGCCAATTAAGCTCTACTGCCAACGGTTGAAAACGTTGCTAAAGGCTGGGAATAACCATTGAACGGTGCAGTTTTACAATCTCTCTACCTAGCAGTTAAATTCATGCATGATAATGGAGAATGATAAATGGAGAAAGCTCAGTTCTAATCTTCTGATTTATTGACTGAGTGGAAGGAGAACGGATGTATCAGTTAACAGTAAAAATGTCAACAATTGATCGGAAGCGTATGACGCTAAAGGACAAAGGTCTCCAAAAGTAAAAATAGACAATGAAAAAAAAAATCAACATTTCCTTTCCTTATTTTACTTCCTTGTTTTCGATCTGCATTTTCGTCCCTCCTCCCTTTTTTTTAATCTCCTGAGGGAAAGAAAAAAACTTTGCAGATTTACATCTGCCTGTTGTATATTGACTCTACAGTAGACACATTAACTTCCCATAACTATAATTTATCACTTTTATAAGTCAGCTGCAAGCACAAGATATTTCTTTGCATTGAATCAGAGGCCTCGAAACTTGGCAATTTTAAGACTTCAACTCCCAGAATTCCTCAGCCAGCTCTGCATTGAATTCTGGGGCTTAAAGGAAGAAGCAACTGTGCTGTTTTGGTTGTGTTCATATGGGCGCTTTATTACTCTTGACAGTGATTTGATTATCTGTTCTTTCTCGCAGAGTTTGCTATGGGTTTCCCAGGCACCCCAGATCTTGCCCAACAGCACAGGTATTCCTCAACATACAACTATTCATTTAGTGACTTAAAATACG